TACCGAAAAAAATGTAATACGAAAAACATTGCAAATATTCCAAAAAAAAAAAATTGTGCGGAAACATATTCTGGTTAGTGTAATTTGCGGCTAATTAGGCGAAAGCGGCGAGCTTTTTATTTTGACAACAGCGATACGAATGCAAGAAAAAAATTGGCATTGCGTACAAAAGCTTAGCCAAAAAGTACACAAGTGTGTTGTATATAACCAAATAGATAAACAAAAATGAACCAAAAGTTAAATGAGACAAGGCAATGCGCAACCTAACAATATTGACTTTAGTCGCTTAAGTGTGACAAAAATTAAAATAAAAAAATCTAACTTTAAATATACGTAAATATTTGCATAAAAAATTATGACTATTAATTTGAAAGAAAAAAAACAAAACTTTAAAAGAAATACTACAAAAAAGTTGTAAAATAAATTATTAAACACTCGTAAACGCAGGCATTCATCAACAGCAATGTCAAGCGCCAGCTGGCTTATAAACGATAACATTTTTGCTCGCACGAAAATGGTCAAAACACCCAAAGCTAAATCTACGAAAAACGTAAACAAAACAAAACACAAAACTAACTTAAACAAAAAAAAAACATTTGCTATTCAAAACCACACAAATAAACAGACAAATATCTGTCCACACGTTCGCTTCTTAAGTTCTTCGTTTTGAGACGATGACGGAAGCTGCAGCTTGCTGCTCAAAGGCAAACAAGAATAAAGATTATGTCAGCAGCATATGTATGTATGTATGTATGTATGTATTTAAATATGTTTCTATTGTTGTCTGTTGTCTGAGAGTTACCCTGTCGGCAATACCAACTGTGGCGCGCCGTCTAAATTACGGTAGTAGCAAACGACTACCGTAATAAACCCCCACCCCTGTAGAGGCTGCTTGCTACCCGACCGTCTGCCCACAGCAGCATCACAGCAAAGCAGCCACATTTTTGTTAGACGGGCAGCTGGCTAAAAGCTATGAAAGTAGTAGTCTATGTAAAGTAAGTTAGCCAACTTATTGGCTGGCGGCGAGCGTTAAACTTCAGCTTACTTGGGTAGTCAATCACTTGAGTGGCTGCACAAGACAAGTCAACGCTTGAAAGCGGCTTAAAACTATATAGTAATTCGCGCTTAATAAATAATCCAGTTGACAATTGGAAAAATCGGCTTCGTTCAATCACTATGCAATAAGGCTTTATGTGTGAATTATAATTTTTTTTATTGATTTTGCAATAATTTAGTATAAATTCTAATCATTTTTTTCTTTCAATTTCTAGTAAAGGCTGAAGCAATACTTTCCTTGACAGAAGCTGACAAATGGAACATTTCGAGTTAATACACTTTTGAGTAATCTAAAACTTGTATAAAAATATAATCATTAAAATGTTTTTGTTTTTTTTTGTTTGCTGTGTTGGAGCTGCTTCGGCCGATGGAGTAAAAAAGCAAAATGTTTATATTTTTCCCTTGTCCCTCCTACGCTTTTTTTGTTTAAAACAGTGCGGTGTTTGAGAAAATGATTATAAACGCAAAGATTTTAAGAAAATATTTCTTAATTAAACTTCAAGATTATTTCAAGCACTCCATTTGGAAACAGTTATTTGCTTCCTCTTGTTTTTAGAATTTCCAGAAGAAAGTTTTCCTTGTGGAAGATTGCCACAATGCAAATTTCGAGCAAGAAATATGGATTATTTTCTAGATTTTTATCTTTTTTCGGCATTTATAAAAGCGAAAGTTTAAAAGTTAAATATACTTTTGGCTCTAAAAATTCCCTTAAAACCCAAAAGTCATGAAAATGTCTCGAATACCCTCGAAACCCCCCAAAAAAAAACGAAAAAAGCGGAAAAATTCGATCAAAAAATCTACAAAAGTACCGAAAAAATAATACAAGTTCCTGAAAAGTAAAACACGAAGAATATAAAAAAAAAATCGTAAAAAAATAAAAAGCAAAAATTACCGGTTAAGTCAATATCACACCTTTAGCCTTTTATTTTACCTTTTAATAAAAATCTATCTTTCAGCGGTCAAGAGGAATCAATTTCTACAATTATAGACGATCTTAATGGTTTTATTTTATTATTTATTTTCCCTTTCAAAATCTGAAATTAGCTGTATATAGCTTTTACTTGAATTTATCGGCATCAGATTCATAAGCCCTAGTTACTGTGAAAATACATTCCACCCAAAAAAAAAGCTTTTCCTTAAAACAAGAAACCAGTTTCTGTTACTGTTTAGAGTTACTGTTTTTTCCTTAATATTACGAAAAAAATTTACTCAATTTGAGAAGTTTTTCCTTAATTCAGGTTCATGCTCAAAACAGTGCGTCATTAATTTGAGGAAGCAAATTTACGCAATATAAGTAATAAATTCCTTAAATAACTTTGAATTTTGTCAGTGCTGCTAAGACAAAGTTAATTGCTTTCCTGACAAATGTCGGCTGTAGCGTCACGTGAAGACAACTGCTTCTGGTTCTGGGATCGCAGGTTCGAGGAGTCCGGTTTGAGGTGGTTAGAGAATTTAAGGTAAGTCAATTATTTCAATTTAAATATAAATTACAAATTGTTAAATTAATTTCATATGCAAAAATTTAAATACTCAAATACCATAAAAAATAAATGAGATATTTTTCTTTTTAAAACACACTTTACACTAAAAAAAAAATTAATAAAAAAAATTAATAAAAAATATTTTTAAAAAATCCCCTGCTCTAGGACTCGATCTTTGAATCCCCAACTGGCACTCTATAGCTATGATCTGTCGGCCATTGTGACTGTTTTAACGCCGCACAGTGAGGCAAAAAAGGTTACTGTAGACAAATCAATTTTGAGAGCCCAAATATGAACCGATTTCAAGTTTCTTTTTTGTTTTGTATACAAGATAATAAATTTCGCGGCGATCTATCTGTGGCGATTTTTTTAAAAAACGCTCCGGTTTTTTTATTTATTTATGTTAAAAAATTAAAGAAAAAAATTTTCATGCTTGAATGCTTCCACTTTTTTGAAAAATGGGGCGTGGAACCTCCCATATAAACTGAATTTCTCACATCAGAATGTGTATGTGCTGTGAGAAATTCAGTTTGTATGGGAGGTGACATGCCTCCTTTTTCAATAACTCCCATTTTTTCCATGAGTTTGACGTTGATGTTATATATCTCTGTCCTAAGTTTTTTTTGCCTCACTGTGCGCCGCTAACAAAATTACATACTTTATTAAATACTGAACAATTCCTCCTGGCAAGTTAATTTTTCCTAAGAATAAAGAAAATACATAGTACTAAAACTAAGGAACTGTGTCAAATCGTTTACTTATATTAAGTCAGCCATGTCTTTGGAGCCATTTCAAGGTAATATTTCCTTAGAATAAGATACTAGTGTTCGCCCAGTGCATGAAACTCAAACACTAAAAGAGGGTTAAGGTGAGTTAACTTGAGTTGAAGTGAAGAAGGGTCAGGTGAGGTGAGTTTATATAATTTAAGTTGAATTAGGGTGAGCGAAGCTAAATTGAGGTGAGTTGACGTGAAATTAGGGCCGTCGAGAGAAAACTTGGGGCCCGAATGAAAAAAATACGGGCCCCTATACATAAATTGTATTAATTTAAAAGCACGTGATCAATTTTCTTTTAATGTATAGTCAGAAACAATCAGCACGAATCGGAATATATCTATAATAAAAGCCGATAACGAAGGAGCAATTACATTGTACAAAAATTATAACAAGTTTTGGTTCTGTTATTTCAGGCCCCTTAAAAAGCGCGGGCGCGAGGGGATTCACCCCTTCCGCCCATCCCTCTGGATGAGCCTGGGTGAAATAACATTAGTTGGGGAGCGTAGAAGTGAGGTGAGGTAAATTGATTTGAGATGAAATGGGGTGAGTTGGCGGTGAGTTGATGTTAACTGAGACGAGTTGATTTGAGGTAAGTTGAGGCCCTATAGTTCGTTATTTCTTTATTTTTTCAAGAACGCGCTACTTCAGAATTCAGTTCAAAAAGACAGACTTTAGACGCAAGTGGTGTGCTGCTAGGCGAAAAATCAAAGTAGATATCATCGAAGCACTAATGACAAGTGTGCCAGAGAAAGTAGTTGGTTCTTACTATCACCTTATTCATTTGAATTAAATTGTTACTGAAATATATTAGTTTCTCTCCCTCAGCTAGGTAATAAGTGCCTGCCCAACTTTTCGCATGTTTAAACACTTTGTATCTCTTGGGAACAAGAACCCAAAAACATCCTATTATTTTTAGTTCTACTGAAAATATTTATAGCCAGCAGCGTTAAAAGAATATATTTAGAAAACAATGAAACAATCATTTAAACATGAGCGCATGCATGGCAGAACATATTGTACAAAAGAACATGTGTACGTCTAATTCGTTAAAATAGACATCCAAAAATATAAGTAAATCTTAGCAAATCGAACATCACACGCCGCATTGTCTTAAAATATCGTCTGGCCAAGTCACTGCATTGGTTATGCTAATGAATCATATTTAAGAAAAATGAGAATACTCAACACCAAAATATTTGGCAATGCTCCAAAAATACATACATACATATTTACTATTTACTTTAGATATTCAGAATAAAGTATTTTTTGAGGAGCTTAAAAATAAATAAATTTTGAGCTTTCTAACGCACAGCAATTGCTCGAGAAAGCGAAAGAAAAATTTTTAAATTAATAAAACAATATTCCATAGGTTGTGGCGACTTTCCATTAAACGCCGACACACACTCACACATATTTAAATAGGCAAGCCTCATCAGCTAAGCGCAACTGTGTCTCACGTGTTGCATAAACTTTCCACCTTTGGGTAATTTATCGCTTCCGCAACATACAAAAATCATAAAACACCGCGGCGCGCCACGCCACGCCACGCCACGCCATGCCACGCCACATACATTATCGCAATCAACTGCAACACACAATTTTTTCAGGCAGCTCACCCACGATTCACTTAGATTTATTAGAGCTCTAACTAGTTAGCAAGCGTTATAACCCCCCCCACCAACAATACTTACTGCAATTCGTTGATCGTGGGCTCCAAAATGTCTCTGGTCGCCGCCGTTGTCTTACCATAGTACAGCCGATGATCGTATCCGTTCATCATCGCATACGCCGCCGTCGGATTATTATTCCTATCTGCCACGCTGGAGCTAGCGGGTATGTGCACCTTGGTGGGATGTAAACATTTTGGAGCCCACGACGCCACAGCCAGGTAGATATCCGTTTGCGCAGGAGGCTCAGGTGATGTGGTGTGTGTGTAGTAACCGTCTTCGGGATCGTCTGGAAGAAAAGCAATCGTGCCATTCACCTTCTTTGTTGTTGAAGTTGTTAATGTCGTTGTCGTTGTTGTTGCAGCACCACAACTGGTGTAGAGATAATCGTTGATTGAATGAGAAATTTTCGATTTCGTTGTACGTCGTAAATGAGGTGAACCATTGGCGGCGGCGGTGCCTGGTGATGCAGCAGACGCTGCCGACGCAGCAGCTGCGGCATAGGCATCCAACCGTCCATTTTCACTGGCGAGTTTAGCTGCCAACATTGGCGGCAGCGGTGAATTGGTAGTCCTTGTTGTGCCAATCCACGTCGTTGTTGGCACGATCGTTGTTGTCGTCGCACCCGACGAGGAAGAGGAGGAATTACAGTAGCCATTGCGGTTAGAGTAGTCTGTGTGGCAGTCACTTTGACGCAGCATGACTTTCGAGAAATCCACATAGAGTGGTTCGTCACTAGCTGGCTTGCGCTGGAATTCGTCATCCTCATCGATGGCACTGCGGCGTTCGTGTGGTTCGTGGCCGCGTTCCAGATCATCGAAATCGCGACTGTGCGGCGTGGCTGGCGCACCAACCGAACTGTAGAAACTATAATTGCTCGACGAGGATTGCGAGTAGGAACGACAAAAGCGCTGGCGGTAGAACTCATCCTCGAAGGGCAGACCTTGCGGAAATTTGGTGGAGAAGATCTTCTTCGTTTTGGGCGAGCCGTGCGACCCGCTGGAACCTGAACCCGAACCCGTCGACTCATTGCTGCCGGTGCTGCCGTTCTTCGAGGCAGCAGTCGCACAATTTGACTGACCGTTGTTGAATGGCACGTAATTCTTGCGACGCTGGCTGGCAGACAACAACGCTTTATTTTGCTCGCCATGCGCAACACCGCCCAAACGGCGATTATGTATATTGGGCGAGGCCGATACAATCGCGAGCTTCAAGTCCTCTCTATACTTTTTCTTTGTCACAGCCTTCGGTGTGCTCGGCGGCAATGGCGCTGGGTAATTCTTCACCGAGCGAACGGGCACATTTTCCTTGTGTACATTTTGCGCCGTACAATACGCGCGCTTCTGAGATCCGGCACCACCTGACGAGCGGGTGCTGCTGCTGTTGTAAAATGTGGCGCCCGAATACTTGGAATGCGAGGGCGCGGGTGCGGGCGTCTGCGAGCCACCACCGTTGCAATTCGTTGCGGCAGGCGTCGACTTGGCAGCGATTGTCCCTGTGCTTGCGCCTGCGCCTGCGCTTGCACCAGAGCAAGTGCCAGAGTTTTTCTGTCGAAAACTCAGGTTGCTGTTGTGGAATCTCTCAAAGTTGGAGGGATTACGTGCGGGAGGAGGGGGCGCGAGCTGATTGCGCGTGCGCAAGTACTGTTTATTGCCACTGGGGAGCGCGCTGGTGCTGGTGTTAGTGGCGGGCGGAAGTGGCGCGCGTGGCTTATTGTGAGTGACACCATTGCTGCCACCACCGCCGCCGCCGCAGTTGCCGCCATTCGAGCAGGTGGTTTCAATGCGCCGCACCAGTTTGGGTGTAAGCGGCTTAATGGTGCTTGTAGTGACAATGCTGGTGAAACGTTTGTCCGAGCCGTTGCTGTTGCTGTGGCTGTTGCCATTGGCATCACCATTCACTTGATAAGTATTATTATAGTTGTTGTTGTTGGTGTTGTTGCTGCTGCTGTTGATGTTGCTTTGGTAGCGCGTGCCATAGAAACTGCTGCGATAGGCTTGTTGACGCCCAAAATTATTGCCCTGACCATTGTTGTTGTTGTTATTGTTATTGTAGTTATTACTAAAATTATTGGCTTGACTTGAGTACGATGATGACGTAGAACTATTGTGGCCATTGAGCGGCGCACCATTCTTGTTAGTATTACTATTATTATTATGATTGCTGCTGCCGCTGCTGCTGCTGTTTATGTTGTTAGTGTTGTTGTTGTTGCTTTGACAACAATGCGTATTGCAACTGCCGCGTGTCGCTCGAAACGAGCTATACGGCCTGGACGCTAATTGATGACCCACCGGCATTTTACCTAATTTCTCTCTCCGCTTATTTGATGTGGTGAGCGCAATTGCTTCACCTACGATATCAGAGAGTTTCGCACGATTCAAAGTAGCGAATCGATCACTTACGAACGAAAGCAAAGCGCTCGTTTTCTGCGTTTGTTTTTTTTTGGTTTTTGGTTTTTTTTTTATTTAATTTCTTAGTGTGCACTTGTGAAATGGTTGCTCATCCACGGTAGAATGTGGTGGTGGGTTATCACATTTCAATTTATCACTAATCAATAAATATATAAATTCGTTGTTTGGATTTCTTTACGAGTTACCGTTGTTTCCTACTTCGCACCATAGGAGCACACGAATGTATGTTTTGTTTTTTTTTTACTTTTTTGTTACTTTAAATACTAAATGTCGAGCTGTCATTTTATTTTTACTCAACTGATCACATATTTTCACTTTCATTAAATTTCTATTTAATTTTCTGCTATCGCTGTGCTCCATTAAAGCACTTTCTTGATATTTGCATTTTTCGCATAATTTCATTTAAATCGCTTTTTGTTAATTGACGTTTACAAATTTTCGATTGGCAGAACTTGGCTTCGATTTAGTAATTGATTTGGATTATTCACTTTTTTAGTTGTTAGCTTCATGTGTTGCAACTTGCTTTCGAGTTAAACTTTATTTGTTATTTTAACTGAAACAAGCCGATGCATGATTTGCTTAAGCGCACGCACATATGCATTTATATAAAAAAAAAAAATTTGAATCCTCTTGGTGTTGGATCTTCTATTTTTGTTGTATCCGAATCTAAATTGCAAAATGAAAAATATGTTGAACGTAGGATATCACTGCGTATACGCAATGTTGCCTCAAATGCCGCACGTTTGCAATTGAAAAGTCGTGTCCGCTACACTTAAACGTTTTGCCAGCAGCGTGAGACTGACGACTATGCCGCGTGTCTGCTGCTGCTGATGCAAATGTTCACATGTACGCCTTAATTCGCCGCAGGTGTCCAAGCACGAGCAGCGACATTTGTTGGTCTTCATGCTGGCCGCATTTTTTTGTGAAAAGGTCAGAGAGAAATTGTGAAGCAAAAGTTGATAAGAAGCAAAATTCAACTTAATCCGCTTGTTTGAGGACAACCTCGACTTGCGAACAGAATTAACATAGATTGTCTGTTGTGAAAATCAATATTAGTCGCGTGACAAATTGGCGTAAAGAAAGACAATGTAAATTAGTTGAGAAGAGAAGACTCGCTTAGCGATTAGTTATTACCAGCAGAGTTGTCGATACCCATAAAAAATCTATTAGCATAAAAATCAATAACGGTAACACACCAAAAAACTATTAAAAATCGATAACGTTGAAAAATTTAAAACAATGAAAAATCGAAAACGATGATAAATCGAAAATAACGAAAAATTGAAAACGATGAAAAATCACGAAAAATATATTAAATGACGATAAATGGCTAACAATGAAAACTTCAAAGCGAAATATCAATGGCGACGACAAATCGACAACAACGAAAAATCAATAACGATAAAAAATCTATAACTACAAAAAATCTATAAAGGCGAAAAATCGATAGCGACGACAAATCGATTACGATGAAAAAACTATAACGACAAGAAATAGAAGAAGACAAAATATCAATAGGGATGAAAAATCGATAGCAACAAAAATCGATAACGATGAAAAATCGATAACGATGAAAAATTGATGACGACGAAAAGTCGATAACGATGAAAAATCGATAACGATGAAAAATCGATAACGATGAAAAATCGATAACGATGAAAAATCGATAACGACGAACATCGATAACGATGAAAAATCGCTAGTGACGACAAATCGATAACGACGAAGTATCGATAACGACAAAGGATCGGTAGTGCCGAAAACTCATAACAATGACGGATTCGACACAAACCATAAAACAAAAAAATAAATAAAAATCGATAGCGATAAAATATCGACAACTATAAAATGGAGACATTGGTTGACACTTAAATCGTGAAAAAAATTTAAAAAAAAAAAAACGAATTAATCGTCTCTTAAATGTCTCTGTGTACCTTGTATGCAAACGCCAGCTTCTGCAGACTTCTAATATGTATGTCTGGAATTAAAATCCAAGTTTCCAAAAAGTTAGTATTAGCAAATTTAAACAAATTCCGTTTATCAAGTGAGGTCACATCAGAATACATAATAAGTTTGAGTATTTCCGATAGCTCCTTGAATTCAGAAAACCTCGATGAAAATTCGTCGATGAGAGAAGTTATTGCCAAAGAAAACTCTTCAGTGACTCTCAGTGACTCTTGATCTGTCTGGTTTTTCATCTAAATTCAAAGCTGATTTTACATTTATTCAATTTTTTAAATTTGGCAACATTTGCAGTTTTTGGAAACAATGGGACATATTCATAATACCTGCGAAGATATGGGGTTCATTATTGTTTTTGAGAACTACGCCCACTATATCACCAAGGGAGGCAAAGCCATGGTTTGAGCACAAAGCTTATTGATGAATGATGCAATATAACTAAAGAATCGAATGTCTTATGTGGATTTCGTCGGTTACTATCTGTATTTTTGGCTCTTCTGACCTTTTTTCTTAATTGTGAGTAGATCTTGCTTTGATCTCCAATTTAAAGAAAAAAAGGAATTCTGTCGATGAGCTAGTAAATACTACTGCTAGTAATTGATGAATTGAGTCCTCAAATAATACCATGCCCGAATTATTTTTTTGCGTGCCAAAAAAAAAAAAATATTTTAAAATACAAAAACTGACAGTCAAATATAATAATTCCTCAAACCTATGACCTTCGAAGACTCGAATAACTTTCACTACTTTAAGTGGCCACTGACCGCCGAATAAACGCACTTGCTGCTGCATAGAATTCTTCTATTATGTTGAGTAATCATCTACATAGGCAAAAAAAAAATAATGAGAAAAACAATAGAACATAAAACTTAATTAAAAATAATAAATTTTAATTATTCGCACAATTAACAGCAAACATGTGTACAAATGTAAATATGCGCATGCGCATTGTAGAAAATATGTGTTAAATGAATTATAGAAAACTACAACTTTTTGTACAACATTACAAGCAACCATAGAACAACAACAAAGCTAACGCGGCAATGGCGGAGGCTATGACTTTTGCCTACTTGTCTACGAAGATTATTAGCAGCTTGTCTTGGCTGTAGAACCTATTTGCTTGTTGCCTTGTGCGCTTAAAAACGTTGGCGCACTAGAATGCAAAAGAAATCTACTGTACTTACATAAATATACATACTATATGTATGTTTGAAAACTTGTATAATAAAGCACATACAAACATACAAAAGTTTCTCAAATGACTTTTATGGCGGCTTATGATTCAAGCAACAAAACTGCAACCTTGAAAGAAGACAAATGTTAGAGCATGGCAACAATTTGATGGGGATGTTGATTTGTAGATTTTTGATTAACTGATGAGGAAGATTTGCTGCTATTGACATAATAAGCTTGTAAAAATAGGCCTTCAAAATTACAAACAAAAAATAAGAATAAATAAAATGGGTAAATGCGTAGTGGAAACGAATTCTTTATTCAGCATATTTGATAGTATTACTTCTGTTTCTTTATACTAGAAATTGAATTGGAAATTATTACATTACTTCTGATTGCAAAATATGTATTGCTACTTGATCAGTAAATCAACTTTTAAGCTTTTGTTTGCTACGGTTCGAATGTCGGCAGCTGCATGTGCTAAAAAAAATCAGTGTGCATGTGTATGTGTATGCGTTTGTATGTAGTATTTATGTATGTTTTTCTTAATTCTTACGATTTGTTATATTTCATAGTAAATTATTTACATATAAAGTCTAGTTACGTATATATATTCAGTGGACTTCTACAATCTTGTTATCGCAAAAAAAAATTATTAGTATGTAAATGTATACAGGCAGCGTCAGAAATATGAATACCCTAACGTATTGACGATTTTCTTTAATTATATTTTCCATACCAAATTTTTCTTATTTTTTATAAGAATATAGTTTATTAAACATCAAAAACCAGCAGCATCATTTTTTTCAATTTCATATTGAACTCGGAAAATTTAAGAAATACCAAAAAAAAAATGTATTAAAATTTGAAACTTTTAAATTCGACTTTTTACAAAAATTTTGAGTAAGCAGTTTTGTAGTCCATTAAATTGTAGAATAATGACGCATGAGCAAAATCTATTTTTATACGGAAGAAGATGTGCTACACCCTCGACGAAAAGTGGTCTCAAAAATCAACGGTAATTTTTAGAGACTTGTTCTACTGCAAGCTCAAAATTTTCCTAAGAAATCGAATTGAAAAGTTGAAAATTTTGATGAAAATTTTTTATATTTCTATATGAAATTGAAAAAATTGATACTGCTGGTTTTTGCTGTTTAATAAACTATATTTTTACAAAAAAATAAGACAAATTGGTATGGAAAATATATGTTATATGTAAATAAATAAAATCGTCCAAACGTCTGGGTATTCATCTTTTTGACGCTGACTGTATATGTACATATACATACATACGTATGTAGATGTGTATCATTGTTACGCATATTTTTTTATTTATTTGTCGGCATTTTGCTTAGTCTACCAGGCAGTCAAAAGTTCTTATTGATGATTTCAGATCGATGTCAGAATATCTACCAAAAAATGAACGCAAATATTTTGCTTAAAACCCAGTCTAATGGTCGCACAAATTAAAAAATGGCAAACAAAATTAACACAGGATTTATTATTATCAAATATTTCGAATGGCCACCTTTCCCAACCATATCGGTACTCGTATTAGTGATATACGGCGAAGTAGGTTGCCTTAAACCATTTGGTGCTGAGATTTTGGCCTTCGCCATATTCCTCAGGTAGATTTGGTAACAGAACCATCGTGTTCGGCTTTACTTGCGATTAATTTCGACACAGTTTTTAATTTAATTCTGGACTCCAAACTTCTGTGCAAGACTCATTAGTAAGCGACCAGAACTACGTAGGTGTCAATGGTGTATAGGGCACAAGCTCCTAGGTGGGCAAATCTTAGGGGCGCAAACCAAAGATCCTAAGATGCATATTTACACCATGATACTACGATACTTCATCTGCCCATATAGCAGACAGCTAAGCGTAATCTCGTAAACTTTGTACGGAGTGCGTGGCTTTGGAAAAAGCAGAGTCTTATCATCTACATAGAGATATGGAAAATCTAAATAGGTAGTGCAGTGTGTACACACACGGCCCTGGAGCTCCAACATTTTTCAGAGATCATTAGTCTGTGTACAGAAATTAACTTATGCAAAATTAACTGTAATAACATAAAGCTCTCTTTTTTTTTTAGGTAAAACAGTTTGATAGGGATACGAAAATTGTCGCTAACTCGTTACAGATTCTCTTATCTGAAATGTCTTTAGAAACTTAAAGCCTTGGCAGAACACAATGGTGGTAGGTGGTGGTGCTCAAGCAACGACAGTTGACAACATCTGATCTACTCTTTTGCCAGACTGCCAGGCCACTTTTGCTAACTTTGGTGAATACCACTAATGCTTTTCCTTGCAGCGTGTGTCAATATAATGAGGAAGAGCTCAGGAAAGAAATACTATGTAGGAGCGAGAGAACGACACTGGAAAAGTGCTTTATTTATGGCCTAGAAAAAAATTTCCTGCACACATACTACATAAATATCGTTATCTTAATATAGAGAGGCCCTAATTCATTTTCTTTTGAAACTCAGCTTTGTGCAAAAGTTGGCAAACTGTTCAGTAAGGACCTAATAGAATTTAAAAAGAGCTACTAGATCAATTAATTTGTTTCAGTGTGTATTAAAAACCAACGTTATGAAGGAATTTGCGACCGAAGAACTTTAGTTTTTATACAGCTTATAACTACTCTGTAAAGAAACAAAAATGTGAGATAGGGTCTTTATATATTAAGGTAACCAAATATTGTACCAGCCTTTCTATAATTGCACTATTCACACGAGGACGATTCGCGTTCTATGAAATGGTGAAGTGAA